CAAAGACTCCGCCAGTCTCCACCACAGGCTCAACCATAGCCTCGTTTGCATTTCTTGCGTCCAGAGTCGCCACCGTCACAACTTATTTTCAATTTTCTTGCTCAAGAACGGAGCACCCGTAGACCTCAGATATGCGTGACGGACACTGGGTATTATATTAGACGTACAGTGTAAAGCAAACATAAGGAAGAACTTAGGCATAATTAGGCATCAAGCTATAAAAAGTATGGGAGGTGAAATAGAGCTCCGCGTCCCAGCCGCTTTAACCCCCACAACCTTTGGATGAGGCTGGGTAGACCCCACAGACGTTCTGGGCGTGGTGACGAAAAGAATTATTTCTGCTCCTGTCGGATATCGAACCCCGATAGTCCAGTCCGCATTCTAGTAGCTGCACTAACCGAGTTACAGCGGCTGACACTGTTGTTGTTGTTAAATCACAACTCAAAGTTCAACCTGGAGGCATCAGTGAGTGAAAAATATGGCCTAAATTATCTTAGATATTGAAATATGTTTGCACTAACTGAAAAGATGTATACGTCGTAAGTTCTAACCAAGATGACAAATTGAATTTCAGAGTCATGTTGTGGATCAAATTAAACTTCTATATTGTTTTCAGCCTACACACAATAAAATAGAAATAACCTTTTTATGTTTTATTTATTTCATGTCAGTATTTTTTAACCAAGATTTCTTCTTTGGCGTGTACGTCAATCTGGAGCAAGGGGAACAGCAGAAGCAGTGGTAGGTTGGAGGGGCGCGGGGAGACGACAAGAATAAAAAGAAGACCAACATGATGGAAGAGGAATAACTTTCTTTTACGTAATATTAGTAATTTTATTATTCAAAAAATAACCCCATAAGAACTCACTTTTCCCTACTTACTAGGCTCTGCACGTCTGAAAGAAGTAAACTACTGTTGTCTCCTTGTCTCAGTAATGGTAGTTACTGAAGGAAGCTTTTTGAACAGCTCACATCACTCCATTATACGACAATAATAGACCTGTCATTTGCAATAGCACACCGCGCTTACAATAAATCTACAACGGTATGATAGATCCAATTAGATACGTGATAAAGTGACATACAGACATGGTTATGCAATTTTCAGTGTTTAACAAGTTAGTGTTCTGTAAGAAACTAACAATTAATTACCATTTATCATTAATTAAATTCGGGTTATAGAACCGGAACGTTTTAAGAGGTCATATATTTTATATTATAACACGCATGATTATATTATTTATCACTTCAGAGTGGTCGCTTTATATGGTCGCCTAGAAACCAGACCAAAGACTGTGAAACGGAAGAAGAAGAGTTGAGTTACGAGAGGATTTTTATATAAACCGCTGTCTGTCCACACCCACTGCGTGGCAAGCCAGCAGCTGCTTCATGTAACATTATACCAACTAGGTCTCATTTTGTGCGTGTACCACAATTAATAAGCGGGTCAAGAGCAGGGTATACTACTCTGTTCGCTGTTGTTTTTTTGTTGTTGTCTTTTTTAAGTCTGAGAATTTAAATATTAAAATTCAAGTCATAATTCTTAGAACATAGTAGCCTACACATTCACGGACACTTTAAATGGTAACTCTATATTACAGACTGGAATAATATTTCAAAAATAATCCAGTATAGCTTATTCAATTTCTCTCGTCAGTTCATTTCTTGTAATCATTGTGCTACCCGTCAGAATTGCCACAGTCTAAAATATATTCACAGAGTACATTTGACATGATTATAAAATGGTGAAGATGAAACAAGATATAGCTTTCTCGACAGCAAGAATCGTCAGTAAGACGAGGGTACTTTACGACTACGAAGAATTTCCAGACATATGTTCAAAGCGTACGTTTTATTGAAAGTAATAAATTTAAATCCAGTGTCTTCATAAAATTTCGTAAATTTTTGATGTGTTATTTAAACGAACAAATTATCCAGATGTTTTGCTCTACTTCGTCTTTATCTGATATTTCTCTTCTCAGAAGTTCTTCACTAATTCGCTTTGCAATAATTTCCCCTAAAATTTTCCGACTCAGTGAGGCATGTAATTTTCAGTAACTCTGTCTCCTTCTGTAAAAATCAATATAGGGCCGTGTTGTACCGAGTTGTTCAGTCCTACGAAAACCTTCATTCTCAAACATTAACATCTTTAGTGAGATTTCAGGTTCTCACGACGGACATTATGAAGACGACTATTTACCGGGTTATTGCGCCGTATAATCCGGTAGACATTTATCAACATTTCTTGCTTGCTTTCCTGATTATGGAGGCAGCAAGCACCTCTTAAATGTCGATAGAGTTGCACTAAACTACACGGCACAGGCCAGAAGACAGCAATCTTCGTCTATTTCCTTAAATTACTAGTAAGAGAATACGTTCTTTAATTGAAGAAATATATAATTTAATAATGGATTTGTTGAAGGTATTATTAGTTCCAAAAAATACAAAAGAATAAGATGGAAAAAAACAAAGATTTTTTTTCTCTGAACCGTATATACACGAGAGGTTGAGAGCCGAACATTCGACATTATATTTCTGGCAAACAATTCCGAACATTAGTTCAATAAATCATTTCCCAAACACGATTTCACCATAACTGCGATACTACTACACCAATGTCGCATTCCAGTGGTTAGCCCCGTGTTCTAATCTCCGCCGGCCCGGAAAAATGCTCTCCTTACTGAAGTTTCGTTGCGGCTTCTATTCAATCTCCTTATGCAAAAGCTGTATAGCGCCTTAAATTAGGCCACGACCGCTTCCTTCCACATCCTTTCGAGTTCATTATTCGATGTTCTTTCCTCATTCGACGTCATGTTATCTGAGCTACTGACAGCGACGTTAAATAAACCATAAATAAATATATAAAACCTCGTCAGTTACTTACATAATCAGTCAATCAATGAACTACTCATTGGAAAGTATGTTAGCAAGTACAGTGCGATCAAATGGTTAATTTTACTGGCAAATAGCATGGCATTGCAATATTGAGGCAGACGTTTTAACTTCTATTCACTATTCTGTTCTGCTCACCCCACTCTATTGCCAGTACTGATGTCTCACACCTAAATAATAATGTTCTGATCCCATACAATTGCGCTGTACTGAATGTAGTAACGTGATACTCCGATATCAATTGGCTTTTAGTCGGATATTACGTGATGTGATTGGACAGTGGCATACAAATGCGTGCAATTTTCGTTAAACAAATATCAGTAATACCATCAACAAAAGCATCTTGTACTGTCCACAGAAAGGCATTTGTTATTCTGTTCATAATAATGTCAAATTGAATATAATAGAATTAAATGTAACGAAATGTTTTCATAAAGAATCATTCAAATTTAATTCCCTGTAACTTAAAAAACTTTTCTGGTTACTGGGAGGCGAGTTCTAAAACTTTGTACGCCGTTCATGAGCAGCAACTTCTCCGACACGTAAGTGAGACCTGTTGTCTGAACATCGAGTTGCAGGCGTCCCGACATTCATCGCTTAGGACAGGAGTACGCAATTATTTCCTCGCGGAACGGACAGGTGCAAATGAAAGTGACAGCAGACTGGAGAATTTCGCAATAAGACTGTGCAGTTTAAAACTCTGAAATAATTGTCAGTTACTGACTGAACCCACATCGAAATTTCGAATTATTAATGAGCAAATAAGCGTTTCGTACACATGGGTCTCACAGTACAGCCGAATATTACGCAAGATAAATATATTGTGGAACTGAAATTATGAGAATAATAATTTATTAAAATGTTTGTTTTTTGCTCATGCCGAAAATGACCATTATCCTACATAATTTCCAAATTAATAATTCTAGGGATTGTTCTATACAGTTATGAGTTTTTATACCTAACTTTGAAGAAAGATAAAAAGAAGAGTCCTGAGGAATCTATTTGGATATACGGCTCAGAATAATACTGTGGGAAATTTAGCACATTAGCCTCTGTAAGTCGGAACTTTGCGATTTACACAAACGATCGAGTACGACATAATTAGAATAGTGACATAAAGGAGACAACTATGGGGAGACAAGTAATAAGATTTTTGTCTAGAAACTTCATGGAAAACATCCAGTTTGTAGCCTGAAAATCAGACGAATAACGACTTACGACGGATTACAACAAAGTAGGCTGTGTTGTGAGGGGGGAGGGGGTGGCTGCAACTACGTCAGAATTGTGACCACTGATGGGTTTTGGTACAAGTGCTCTTGAATCGGGTCTTCCGTCACTGTTAGCCTAGCCACTCACACACACACACACACAGCCACGAGATACTTGCATATCTATGAAGCTATGTTAATTCACGTTTCATTTAATTAAACTGTTCATTCTATAAACGGTACACATTAAATTCCTGTAAGCGGGAGGTCCAACAGTTCAGTGACATCACAGAAGTTCAAGACTTCTTTCTAAAAGATCATGTTTACGCAGAGCATGCCGTACTTACTGCCAATCATGTGGTATAGTGGATCGCGGGCATCTAGTTAAAATAGCGTAGTCTACGTGGTTTAATATAATTTAAGATAATTTCTTGGAAAACTTCAAAAATATTTATGTTTATTGCATTAATAGTAAGATATAATTGCAGCACTTTCGGGGCGGGAGGGTAATAAATGTTTGTAAATACTGAAGGCACACCTTTAAAACAAAAAGTGTACTTTCCATCAATAGTACTATAAAAACGCAAAAGAATGAGACATTTTAAGGCTACATAAAGGACAAAAAGAAATATAATGGCAATGCATGTACTTACTTTTGTCTTTGAATGCTGTGATAACGAGTTTGAAACCGTTCGACTCCGTTCCCCAACCGTCTGTGACGTATTTTAGCGTCACAAAATTGGTCCTAGTATAGATGGCACCCACTGTTTGCTTGGTGTTTCGACAGGAAAGGTCCGACTGTAACACAGAAGGAGATTCCTTGTTAGTTTCTGCATCTGTAATTTTAGGGTTCTGAAGAATGTCGTCAAGCGAAGGAAATTTATCATACGACTTAACCAACTGCGTAGTAGTTAAATGTTTATTGTATTTTCGTGTTTTACACGTTTTTAATAAAGTATGTCATAAGTCCACTACTTTCTATTTAATCATAATAAATAATTTCGGTTGGGCTATAACCCATTCTTGCACCGCTTCTCTCCAAAGACCTACTGCTTTCAGACTATAAACTAATGACGATGGTAACACCACAGGCTACAACAATTCAAATCTAACTGACAATCAGTTTTATTCACAGTCCGCGTTAAAGTGAGTTCTCTTGTACAAAGATTTACTCTGCGGAATCCAGAATATATGTTCGAAGTGCTTTAAGTGAGATCCGGTCTCAAGGCGCCCTAATTCTCGTGGAACAAGACATGTTTTCACAGCTGAGAGATTACTCGAACGTGGATAGAAGCAGGGGACAGATATCTCCTGTAACGAACGGCAGTACATCTCAGTGCGTGAGCGTAGGAATCTGTTTTATACGTGCGCCACCAGGGGCTCCGCACTCTGAGATGTGTCACGCGGAAGAGCTTCTGGGACTGAAACTAGGAAATCCTACTTGCTGTCCCTACAGTGATTTGGGGAGATCAGAGATTTGTATCATATAGCCAGAAGTTCGAATGCGCCCGTGCGGGGGCGCAAACACCAGTAGGTTTATGCACGGCTAATACGATGTTGGTTATTTATGAATACAAGATGCGGAAGTGGACAGTAAAAGAATCTTCTGGATATGATCGATGTCCGTTTGCTTCTGTTGAGAGATAATTATGGCTCAAATTCTACTATTCATAAATCTACCCATGGACTATGGTTTGAGCCATTTCAATCCAATCTATACCCTCACTTATTTAATGTAATTGTTTATTAACGCGTTTTCAATACCTAGGTCTACCAAACTTTCTCCTCCATTTACGTTTCCCGCCTAAAATGTTGTAAATAGTTCTAGTTATCTCAAGCGTGCCACATGCTCAGTCCATTTAATACACTGCAATTTGATGATCTTAATGGTCTTAGGTAAAGAGTTGAAGCAAAAGAAAAATACTGCGACTGTAAATGTGGTTTTGGAATTTTAAAAGAGGTACAGTTATAAATTTATAATGTCTTCGCCTCTAATAATGAGATGTTGTCATTAATTTGAAACGCTCATCCAGCACTCTAATGAAAAGTTTATACTGTCCACGCCATGACAAAGGTAATGTCGCGTTTTACTGCGGTGAGTATAACAACCAGAGACCTGAAAGAAAATCCCCCGTCAATGGTCTTTATCACCCAAAGTGTCTTCCTTAATTTTATGCCCCAAGGGAGAGATGTGTTCTATACCCTACAAGCCCATAAAATATGTACAATTTAAAAGTTCAAATACATAAAACGTTCTGATGATACATACGAAGTACTTCTACTTCCAAGAAACTTCAGATATTCCAATAGAAAATTATTTTGGGGAAAAAGCATCAAGCAGCAATAAAGACATATTTTACTTTGACTGTAACACTTACGAAGCATTTTAATGGGCAAAACATTTATCTACAAACCACATAAGAAATTGGCATAAGATGTTCGAGTCCAATGCAGAGAAATTTCTCGTTTTGCCACTATGTCCATATCAGTTTTGGGGTCCTCTCAGATTTCCTTCAGCCTACTGCTGCTCCATCCTACTTCTTTCGAAATATTCTTTTCAGCACCTTGTTATTAAGCATCCTCTATGAACGTTATTCACATTCGCAGATTAAACAACAGGATGTTAGCCGACATCCTCTTTTATGGCACGTTACTAGAGACCTCAGACTTTGACGAAGGCGGATTTGTAAACACGCTAATGAACCTTCCAACTCCATAAAACGGGTATTATTTATTGACTAGCTAAGTATTATTATCTCCTGAGGAGGGATGCTTCTCTATGGAGTTTAATACAGCGTTCTGTAAGATGACGTTTTCACATAACAGTATGATTATATTTTCATTTCGTCTCTTGGTAAATGTACTTCGAGAAAGATATAAGAGAAAATAAATATTGCATTGACATCCCCCATTTCAACAAATCCTATGTATTATTTACTTAAGTTGTTTTTAAAATACGTGATAAAAGTTCCACATCTCTAGATGCACGCCTTTCGCACGGGACGTTACATGTCTTCGTCCCAGTATTCAGAATATTCGCTGTCATCGCCCCATCAGCATCAGCCACTGTGGATGCTTCTCCGTCTCAGCTATTGAAATATGAACACCTCTGGGAAGAAACGTGGCGAAAGAGTCGGGATATGGAAGGGGAATTCTCTTTTCACTTTTCTTTATTTCTCGGTCCAGTGGAGTCCCGGTAAAGGTTATCTGGAGCGGAGACGACGACAGGCTCCCGAGGGGATCAACTATTCGTCCTGCAGCGCCATCTTGCGTTCATGTCACTGTCAGAACGAGGCAGCGGAGAGCCAGAAAATAGGCTACAGTTTACCCCATTTAATACGAATTCTAACAGCGCCTCAAATGAGCCGACAGCGGAGTTAGCGGTTCTTTAAGCCTCTGTGTTAATGCAAACAGTGAAACATTTCTTTTAACGCAGCAAAATTGATTTGTGAAGGAAGTAGCTACTTAACCCTTTAAATCAGACGCTCGTCTATTTCCTCGATTTTAAGAAGCAATCGATTGTAAGACGCATCCTTGATTTAATGACAGGTTTTCAAGAAAAAAGACGCTATATCGATTCTTAAACGCCATCAAATGTAAGACGGACCCCAATTTCAGAAATTTTTAAAATGTGAAAAATGTCTTAAAAGCGAATGCATTAATATTTCAGGATTCAGTCCGTACCGCAAAGAAAACACTACACTTCACTATTACAAAGATCAACTGGTTAATGCTGTTTAAGGAAATAATCGCTGTTTACGTTAAGAATCACACACGAAAACAAAATACAGAGTTACTGACTGTTAAATCAGGTGGTACATGTAGTTACAACTGGGTTTTAAAGCTTTATAATAAAACGGTGAATTCGGGGGAGTTCTTGTCTTCAGTTAATTTTTGCGGCCCGATACGTAAGTTTCGCTTAGCTTTAAAATTCCTTACTGTGATTTTACCGCGGTACCACGGCAGCAAGTGATGGAAAATATAGTAATCCCCCACAAACCTTAATGTTTGACATTGAGTCGGTTTTGCTGTAGATCAGGCGTATACTCTCTAGGCTAAAAACATCGTGCCTGTTCCTAGACATCAGACCTATCACAGACCTATTGATTTCTTACACTCCGATCGAAAAACGCACGTGACTGGTGCCTGACTGAATGGTTTGTTTTGCATGCGAGGTCACCAAATTTCGGAAAGAGTAGTTTAGTTCTTAGAATCTACATTTAACAAATAATAGAACGTTTATTTAATCCATCGTACTGGATTACCATCCATCCACGCAGCGCCTACCAGGCATAATTATTCACTCAGTAGTGATATGAGTAATATTATTAAGACTTTAAATTAACTAACAATACTTAAAAATATCTCATTATCTTCAACGCGCAGTCAAAAGGATATTAACAAAAATAAAGTTTTAAAACATTTGAATGATACAACGTTCGGATTAAAGCTCGGAGTGTTACTGTTTTTACACCGAAGGCCCCAGGAGAAAGAACAACATAACACTTTTGAAAAGCATTAACCCTCACAGCGCTGACTGCATGAAGACAAGCTGCAACACAAACATTTTTTCCACCCAGGCGACAAAAGCAGAATCTTCACTTTCGGGAAAGCTCAAACACGCCTTCCAAGCGGAGCATTACATGTTTTCTGCATTGAATCTCTTTTCTTCCTTATTCTTTATCGTACACTATGTTATAGAAGCTGCAGGATATTATCTGGTAGCCACAGAACTAGCACATAAAACGAGAGGTGGGGAAATGATGGCTTATTTTAGTTTACCTTAAAAAATCACGCTGATAACAACAAAAACATTGCCCGGAACAAACATTACAAATTTTCCGTCGTTTGCACCTGTTGGTTTCCACTTAACATGGCTACTCCATTGTTAGAATGGACTCAAAAACAACATCCATCTGTGAACCGAATTGTGTTGCCAGAAGCTATGAACCTAATTACAATTCTCCGAAGGATGTGTTGCAGTGCAGTATGGCTGTAAGGTTAGGCATACCGCATTAAACATTGGAAATGAGTTTCTGGAAACCAGAGCGCTAACTAAGCGTTAAGCAGGGTCGTTTTAGTATAGTACTTATGAAGATGCGTTCCTAAAATAATAATTTACTGTCCATTTTTAAAATATTAAGGCTTCAACAGGTTACTGACACTATATCACAGACACCAAACAAATTTCTTAAATATAAATAAAATGACTCAATACTGTTACAATTATTTTTAACCACATACAGGAATATCAATGTTTTCCAAATAAAATGTAATACGTTAAGACGGGACTTGTAAAAGATGCCCAACAGCCTCGTGAGTGAACACTACTAACTTTAAGCAGTGACGTCACATCATAAAGAGGCTATTTATTATTGCTAGATGAAAATTGTTCCGAAAGTAAAGACGGTATAACGAATTGGCTTTGTAAGGGACACGGTAAAACTTATCTGCATGAAATAGGAAAGTCTGCGAATGGACAAAGCTTCATAGGAAGACAGTGAAGAGTCTTATTGGTCATGTGCATTCTGAGAGGCAAGGATTGTAAAAATAAGTGTAAGAAGATAACTATAAGCTTATCTCCGGGAAGTCACGGCCAGAAGCAATGAAAAGAATGGCTTACGACATAATGGAATCAGTTACATTCTGATAGTGTCAGGTAACTTATGTTCCGTGGGACCAAATGCACTGAAAAGCAGGATGATTATTCTTACCGTTCGACATCTTCTACCTCTGTTAACCGCTATAATGAACACGTTGGTGGCCAGCCGGTACCGTCCCTTTCACTCATAATGTGA